ACTAATTTTTTGTAGTTTTAGTAGAGATGGGGTTTCACCTGTTAGCCAGGACGGTCTCAAACTCCTGACTCATGATCCATCACCTCGGCCTCCCAAAGTGCTGGGATTACAAGTGTGAGCCACCGCACCCGGCCACTACCACTGACATTCTTTACAGAACTAGAGAAAAAATATTTTAAAATTCACCTGGAACTAAAAAAAGAGCCTGAATAGCCAAGGCAATCCTAAATAAAAGGAACAAAGCTGGAGGCATTACACTACCTGATTTCTTTCTTTTTTTTTTTTACACGGAGTCTCACCCTGTCATCCAGGCTGGGGTGCAATGGTGCGATCTTGGCTTACTGCAACCTCAGCCTCCTGGGTTCAAGTGATTCTCCTTTTCTCAGCCTCCTGAGTAGCTGGGATTACAGGTATGTGCCACCACACCCAGCTAATTTTTTATATCTTTAGTAGAGACAGCGTTTCACCTTGTTGACCAGAATGGTCTCAAGCTCCTGACCTCATATTCCACCTGCCTCTGCCTCCCAAAGTGCTGGGATTACAGGTGTGAGCCACCACGTCCAGCCTACGCTACCTGATTTCAACTATACTTCAAGGCTACAGTAACCAAAAAAGCATGGTACTGGTACAAAAACAGACATATAGACCAATGGAACAGCACAGACAACCCAGAAATAAGACCACACCTACAACTATGATCGTTGACAAACCTGACAAAAACAAGCAGTGGGGAAAGGATTCCCTATTCATAAATGGTGCTGGGATAACTGGCTAGCCATATGCAGAAGATTAAAACTGAATCCCTTTCTTACACCATATACCAAAATCACTTCAAATGGATTAAAGACTGAAATGTAAGATCCAAAACTGTAAAAACCCTAACACAACCTAGGCAATACCGTTTAGAACATAGGCATGGGCAATGATTTCACAACAAAGATGCCTAAAGCAAGTGTAACAAAAGCAAAAATTGTCAAATGGGATCTAATTCAACTAAAGAGCTCTGCACAGCAAAAGAAACTATCAACAGAGTAAACAACCTACAGAATGGGGAAAAATTTTTTGCAAACTATGCATCTGACCAAAGTCTAATATCTATAAGGAACTTAAACAAATTTACAAGAAAAAACAAAACAACTCCATTAAAAAGTGGGCAAAGCATGTGAACAGACACTTCTTAAAAGAAGGTATACATGCAGCCAACAAACATGAAAAAATGCTCAGCATCACTGATCATTAAAGAAATGCAAATCAAAACCACAGTAAGATGCCATTTCACACCAGTCAGAATGGCTGTTATGAAAAAGTCAAAAAATAACAGATGCTGGCAAAGTTGTGGAGAAAAAGGAATACTTATACACTGTTGGTGGGAGTGCAAATTAGCTCAGTCATTATGGAAGACAGTGTGGTGATTTCTCAAAGACCTAAAGACAGAAATATCATTATACCCAAAAGAATATAAATCATTCTATTATAAAGACATAAGCACACATATGTTCATTGTAGCACTATTCACAATAGCAAAGACATGGAATCAACTTAAATGCCCATCAATTATAGACTGGATAAAGAAAATGTGACACATACATACCATCGAATACTATGCAACCAGTAAAAGGAATGTGATCAAGTCCTTTGTAGGGACATAGATGGAACTGGAAGCCATTATCCTTAGCAATTAATGCAGAAACAGAAAACCAAATACTTCATGTTCTCACTTATAAGTGGGAGATAAATGATGAGAATGCATAGAGACACATAGGGGAATAGCACACACTGGGGCCTTTCAGAAGGTGGAGGGTCGGAGGAAGAAGAGGATCAGGGAAAATAACTAATGGGTACTAGGCTTAAAACCTGGGTGATTAAACAATCTCTGTACCAAACTCCCACAACACAAGCTTACCTGTAAAACAGCCTGCACTTGTACCCCTGAACTGAAAATAAAAGTTAAAAGAAGGAACTGATCTGTGGATTTTGCCTGTTGCTGAGTAGGTCTATTTCGATTATGCAAACCAGAACTGAAGAAATAATCACAGGGTGGGTCAGGGGCCCACTGGACCCGCTGTGAGAATGGTTCATGGATGTAACAGCTTCAGGTTTTCTATTCTTCCTAATTTAATCTTGGTAGGTTGTTTTCGGGAATTTATCCATTTCCTCCAGGTTTTCCAGTTTGTCAGTACAGAATTGTTCATAATAGTTTCTGATCATCTTTTGTATTTTTGCAATATCAGTTGTAATGTTTCTCTTTACTTTTCTGATTTTGTATGAGTCTGTTAGAAATAAAGCTTGACGTGGCAAAGAAAATGAGCACTTGAACAAAGGATTTCTCAGCAAGGCAATTTTTACTTCTGCACAAGGGTGCTACCTGTAAGCCTGATTGCCACAAGAGCATACAGAACAAGGGAAAGCAGGGGTTTTTATTCCTAACACAGGTTGTTTCTACTATTGTGTCCTGTCTCCATTGGCTGGAGCTGGACTACACAGTCTGAACTGATCCCACTTGGCTAAAAACTTTACCTTTCCTAAATAAGGTAAAGGTGTAATGGGGAACAAAGGAAAGGAGGGGGTCTCTTTTGGGAAACCAGGAAGACAATAAGATTTCCAAGTAAGGCAAGAGCATAGGCCACAAGCTGGGACATGTCTGGGCACGTCAGGACAGATCCAGGCAGACTAGGAGTTAGGCCTTGGTTCAAGTACAAGAACATAGAATGTGTTTATTTCTTTACTGTATGTAACAACTACTTGGAGCACAATAAAGAGTCATTAGTAAATCAGAAGATTTGTTAGTATGAAGAGGGAGGGAAACTTAAAGAAAGCTTTTAAGAGGAACTATCTTCTCTAAACTTACTCTTAACCAAAAAGGAAAACTCTGGAGAGGGACTTTTATTCTTTACAGTTTCCCTCTCTTGATTTTACAGTTCTTCCTCTTCAAATCTCCTTAACATATCTTGACTTTGTTGTTCTTCTTGATCAGTTAGAAGGAACAACTTATCTGAGTAAGGAGGAGGAGAATTGAAAAGGGTTTGGTAAGAGCCTTTTCTATAAGCCTTTGCACTAATCCACGAATGCAAGGCATAATACAACATTCTACAAGGATAAGTACACTGATTATGAGAGTCAGTAAGGTGAGAATTGAGGACATGAGTTGTTACCACTTACCAAACCACCTTTCCATTAAGCTAGTAAAAGGATCATTTATTCCAGAGTTTTTAGCTAGTTCATTTGATAAAGCAGTAAGACCTTGTAGTGCTTTTGTTATAGTTCCATCGGGGCAGTATTATTAGGGATAAAAGTACAACATTGAGTTCCAATCATAACACAAACCCTGCCTTTTTCTGCTAGTATCATGTCTAGTGCTATTCTACTTTCCCAAGACATCTGACCGTTAGGTCTTAGTTGCTCAGCTATTCCCTCATAGCATCCCTTGTGCAACTAATGAATCATTGCTGATTGTATTAAATATAATTTATACAATCTACATTTTTTTTTCCGAGATGGAGTCTCAGTCTGTCACCCAGGCTGGAGTGCAGTGGTGTGATCTTGGCTCACTGCAACCTCCGCCTCCCAGGTTCCAGTGACTCTCTCCTGAGTAGCTGGGATTACAGGTGCATGCCATCGCACCCGGCTAATTTTTGTATTTTTAGTAGAGACAGTGTTTCACTATGTTGGTCAGTCTGGTCTCAAACTCCTGACCTCATGATCTGCCTGCCTTGGCCTCCCAAAGTGCTGGGATTACAGACGTGAGCCACTGTGCCGGGCTATTCAATCTACATTTTTATTGATAGTCACCCACCTGAATAATGACTTAAATCCTGCAGCTATTTGTTTTCAAGCTTTAAATTCATCTGGTAATCCAATAGCATCTATATAAATGTTGGGATCAAAAGACTCATGGGAACACTTCTTGTACTACGATGCCTGGTTGTTAGTTTTTTTGGTGAATTAAATGCCAATGTGAAAGAGATAGCCAATTGAATTAGAGTGCAAGTACCACTCCAGTTATTTGGCAGAGTATCCCACAAAGGTCCACCACAATACCACCATACATCTGCTTGGGGATGGATAAGGGCAGACTGATGGGTTAGCTCTTGGAAGTGCTTGACTTCACTGCATCCCATCAGGTTTCCAAGAAAAGCCAAATTTTCTCCCTGTTGTGAGAGACACAAAACAAATTTGGTCCCAGAAGATGGAGGCAGAATGGCCTTCGGGGGCTGACTAACAGGATGCTGGACCTCAGGGAATAGCAGAGAAAGTGTCTGACATGATTTATTACTCCAGACTGTGGGGTCTTGGAGCAGAGCTACCATGCAGTCCATATCTGGTCTATTACAAGACCATCTGAGTGGAAAGGGGACAGTTTGGGCCTCTGGTCTGCCATGCACCTAGCATAACAATCATTCTTATTTTGACTGTGGATGGAATATTTAATCCTTTCCAGCCAGGCATTTGCATCCTGAGACCCTGTTTCAATGGCTAGAGTTTGCCTCAGGTCTTTTACTTGTACTATCGCTACTTTGGTTTTGTCACTGGGCATAGGTAGGGTGATGGTTTGAGGAAGATGTGATAGAGAGGTGGAAGGGGCAGTAAAGCAGATTTCAAAAATTCCCCTAGGATCCTTTCCTGAGATGTTGGCCCGTATGCCATAAATATGATTTGATGAATGGGAAGAGTTTTGGGATGTTGCAATAGTAATAGTAAGCTGAATAGGATTACATTGGTTATATGGACAATTAGAAGAGGCAACCTCTTTTGAAAAATGGATATACAGCTTTAAGGACTGGCAAAAACTGGTGGGAGCAGTCTAGCCTGGACCTTTGGGGTTCCATAGGACATTAGACCAAGTATAACATAGGGACTCTGTTTTAAGGTGACAAGAGTCCCATTCCCACCAGTTAATACAACTACTATTTTTGGGGTTATCATGATCTTTACAAGAATTTACTTTATCTTTCCAATCTAAGTAAGTCCAAGAGGGACAAAGGTATTTATGCGAGGCAGTAAGCTGTCTTTGGTCCTGTAAATTTCCACAAGACATGACTAGACAAGCATCAAAGGGCAGGGATACATCTCGAGGCCAGTCATCCTCTGGAGGCAGCCCAATCAGGTCAAAGATTTTGCCCAACTGGTCAGCTTCAGAGTTTCCACAGAAGAGAGGCTTTCGACAAAACATCTCTGCAAATATACAGCCAACACTCCACATGTCCACAGGTGTTGCATATGTGGACTGCAGAAGAACTTTGGGAGCTCGGTACCAGAGTGTAACAACCACGGGTGTAAGTGCCATCTGGTAGCTGTAGATTCTGGCCAGGCCAAAGTCAGCCAGCTTGACTGTTCCACCACTTGTCACCAGAATGTTCTCTGGCTTCAGATCTCGGTGAACGATGCAATTTGCATGAAGGAAATCTAGGCCTCTTAGAAACTGGTGCATCAAATCCTTGATGGTCTCGGCTGGCAAGCCTGGTGGGGGTGCCTTGTCCAGATATGCCCTTAGCTCTTGGTCTACATGCTCAAACACCAGGGTTATAATTTTGGGCAAACTTGATCTAGTTACATTAATGATGAGATGGGCTTAGTTAAGGGAAAGAAATGAAGAAAAAGAGACAGATAGATTACGTTTTTCTTTTTATCATTACTCTGGTGGGAGTCGAAGGAATAACAGTCCATGTCTCCAGAGAAGATGACGCCTTCTTGACTCGAGTATAATGGGTCCACCCTTTCTCAGTGGTCTGAACTGCCCAGAAGGTATCCTTTAGATCTATTACTGTGAACCACTCATGGTTGTATGGAATTTTACTAACAATAGTATAAGGATTAGGAACAACAGGGTGAGTTGTTTGAACTGTTTGGTTAATAGATCGAAGATCTTGCACTAGCTGATATGGCCCATCTGGCTTTTTCACAGGCAGTATGGGAGTGTTATAAGGAGACATACAGGGTTCAATGAGTCTGTCATGGAGAAGGCTTTCTATTATGGGCTTTAAATTGATCTTAGCTTCTAAGGGAATTGGATATTGTTTTCTTTTTACCTCTTCCCCCGGGTTTTTCAATTTAACTTGGATTGGGGAAATTCGTAATTTTCTTTGGTTTCCTTCCTTTGACCCTACATCTGGATGGATGTGTCCCTCATTTAGAGTAGCAAGCAAATTTAAGGAGGGGAGGAGTTTTCCTTGATTAACAAAAAGGCCTAGGTTGAATTTTAGCATTAAATCTCTTCCTGGTAGGTTTGTTCCTGCCTCCGGGATTAACAGAAGTTTAATATTTACTGAGCTGTTCTGATATTTAATTTTTGTTTCTTCTAAGACTTTTGCTTTAAACCCCTCCCCTTTTGCTCCCGAAATAAAAACTTCTTGTGACCAAGTTACAGCAGGGGGAAGATAACAAACTGAGGAATGAGCACCTCCCGAGTCAATTAAAAACGTGATATTCTCAGGTTAGGGTCCCAACTCTACATTTATCAGGGGCTCTTGGTTGGACTCAAGGTAAAAAGAGTAGAGCCCCTGGCCCCCCATTCCTCCTCAAAGATCGTAAGTGGGGTGATTTCCTTTTCTTTTTTCCATTCAGGGCATTCTATTATAAAGTGACCTTCCTTCCCACACTTGAAGCATTTCTTGTGCCCTATTCCTCTTTTTATTCTCTTGTTCCCTGGTTTGATTCCTTTGCCTCTGTTATAGGGTCTGGCAGTCGGCTACCTAAAAGATTTATCAGCGACATTTCTTTGAGCTGCCTGTTGGGGAGTTCCCTGCTGTAAGGATAGCAGAATCCTGATCTCCCGGTCAGTTCAGGATGTGGCACAGACGTCCATCAGCCAGACAACATTGGGTTGTTCAAAAGCTTCCAGTCGCCTCAGTAAGGCCACCTCCCGAACTGTGCTGATGGGAAGGCCTCCTCCAGCTCCTCCTCCATTGGGGACTCTCACACTCTTGAGGGCCACAAAGTGGCCACTGTGGGGATCACGGGCCTCGTACACTGTCCCATAGGCATCGACACCAATTTCAGCCACTGGCTCATATTGAGAGGTAGCCATTCTCAGATCAAAGGCGACCCTCACGCCAAGCTGGGGTGCTGCGGGGGCGGCCCATTATCAGGGCCCCGGAGCTGGTTCCTACGGCCCCATACACCCGAGCTCGGTCCGGGGCAGCTGGACGCAGAGGGCCCTTCTACTTTTTTTAGGTAGGTATTTATTGCTATAAATCTCCCTTTTAGCCCTGTTTAGCTGTATCCCACAGGTTTTGGTATATGGTGTTTCCATTTTCATTTGTTTCAAGAAACTTTTTGATTTACATCTTAATTTCTCTGTTTACTCAATGGTTATTCAGGAGTATGTTGTTTAATTTCCATGTATTGGTCTAGCTGCCAACATTTCTCTTGGTGTATAGTTCTAGTTTTATTTCATTGTGGCCAGAAAAGATATTTAATATGATTTCAATTTTTGAAAATTTATTGAGACTTGTTTTGTGGCTTAACAAAGGCTCTCTCCTGGAAAATGTTCCATGTGTTCATGAAAAGAGTGTATATTCTGTAGTGTTAGATAGAATGCTGTGTAAATATCTGTTACTTTATTTGGTGTAAAATTCAGTTTAAATTCAATGTTTCTTTCTTGATTTTCTATGTAGATAATCTGTCTCATGCTGAGGTTGGGATGTTGAGTCCCCTTCTCTTATTGTATTGGAGTCTATCTCTCTTGCTAGATGTAGTAATACTTGTTTTATGAATCTAGGTGCTCCAGTGTTTAGTGCATATATATTTAGAATTGTTCTATTCTCTTCTTGGATGGATCTCTTTATGATTATGTGATGACCTTCCTTATCTCTTAAAAAAATTGTTCTTGACTTACAGTTTATTTTGTCTGCTATAAGTATAGCTACTCCTGTTCACTTTTGGTTGCCATTTGCATAGATATCTTCTTGGCATTCTTTTACCTTCTGTGTCTATGGATTGTCATGAGGTGGTATTACCGGTAAGTTTTTTTGTAAGCAGAATATACTTAGATCATGTTTTCTACCCATTCAGCCATTCTAAATCTTATAAGTGGATAATTTAATGTTTACATTCCAGATTTTTATTAATATGTGAGGCTTTGTGCTGAGACCAGCTCTGTCAGGGAGACCCTAACCCAGTGGCGCTAGAGGAATTAAAGACATGCACACAGAAATATAGAGGTGTGAAGTGGGAAATCAGGAGTGTTACAGCCTTCAGAGCAGACAGCCTTGAACAGAGATTTACCCACATATTTATTAACTCAAGCCAGTGATAAGCATTGTTTCTATAGATTATAAATTAACTAAAAGTATTCCTTATGGGAAACAAAGGGATGGGCCAAAATAAAGGGATGTGTTTGGCTAGTTATCTGCAGCAGGAGCATGTCCTTAAGGCACAGATCTCTCATGCTATTGTTTGTGGTTTAAGAATGACTTTAAGCAGTTTTCCGCCCCGGGTGGGCCAGGTGTTCTTTGCCCTTATTCCGCTAAACCCACAGCCTTCCAATGTGGGCATCATGGCCATCATGAACATGTCACAGTGCTCCAGAGATTTTGTTTATGGCCAGTTTTGGGGGCAGTTTATGGCCGGATTTTGGGGGGCCTGTTCCCAACAGCTTTGTTCCTGTCACATTGTTATTTTCTGGTTGTTTTATATGTCCTTTGTTACTGTCTTTTTCTTTTACTGCGTGTCATTATGATTTGGTGGATTTCTATAGTAGGACTATTTGAGACCTTTCTCTTCCTCTTTTCTGTGATTGCTTTACCAGTGAGTTTTATACTTGTGTATGTTTTCATGGTGATAATGTGGAAATGTTGAAAACGTTGTCCTTTCAATTGCAGGTTTAGGACTTTCTTGAGCATTTCCTGTAGGCCCTGTCTAGTGGTAATTAAGTCTTTCAGCATTTGCTTGTCTTGGAAAGATAATTTCTTTTTCAATTATGAAGAATAATTATGCTTGGTTTATTACTCTTGGCTTGGCAGTTCTTTTCTTTCAGGACTTTGATTATACTACCCTATTCTCTTCTGGCCTGTAAGACTTCTGCTAAGAAATCTGTTGTTAGAGCTGGGCACGGTGGCTCAAACCTGTAATCACAGCACTTTGGGAGACTGAGGTGGGCGGATCATGAGGTCAAGAGATCAAGACCATCCTGGCCAACATGGTGAAATTCTGTCTCTACTGAAAATACACACACACACAAAATTATCTGGGTCTAGTGGCATGTGCCTGTCATCCCAGTTACTTGGGAGGCTGAGGCAGGAGAATCACCTGAACCCAGTAGGCGGAGGTTACAGTGAACCGAGATTGCGCCACTGCACTCCAGCCTGGCAGCATAGCAAGACTCTATCTTAAAAAACAAAAACAAAAACGAATACAAAACAAAAAAGAAAAAAGGAAAACTGCTGTTAGTCTAATGGGGCTTTCTTTATAGGTGACTAAATGCTTTTTTCTTGTTATTTTTAGGATTTGCATTTTACCTTGGACTATAGAAAGTCTGATGACATGCCATGGAGAAGAATTTTTTGCATTGTATTTTTCTCAGAATTGTTGAACATTTTGTATCTGAATGTCTAAATCACTTGCTAGAGTTGGGAATTATTCATCTATTCTCTCATTAAATAGGTTTTCTAATCTGTTCTTTGTCTCTTTTTGCTTGAGGATACCAATAATTTGAATATTTGGTTGTTTATATTGTACCAAATGTCACAAAGTCTTTGCTCATTCTTTTTTGTGTGTGTGTTTTTGTCTTATTGAATTATTTCACAACGTGTATCTTCAAGTTTTGGAATTCTTCCTTCTGCCTGACCTAGTATGTTGTTGAAGCTTTCAAATGTATTTGGAATTTCATGTCATGAATTCTTTAATTCCAGAATATCTGTTTGTTTTTTTAAATCTATATCTTTTGTAAACTTCTTATTCATATCCTGAATTATTTTTATGTTTTCTTTGTATTTTTTTTTTCAGAATTCTTTTGTATCTCACTGAACTTCTGTAAAATAAATGTTTTGAATCCTTTATCTGGAATCTTGAAAATTTCTTTTTGATTAAGATCTATTGTGTTCCTTTGGGGCTTTTCTTTTCTTTTTTGCTTTTTCACATTTCTGTGTCCTAACGTTAATATTTTTGCATCTGATATAACAGTCAGTTCTTCCTATTTTTGAATTTTGTTTCATAGTGGAGAACTTTATCTGAAGATGAGTCTGTGGTGTTGGTTGTGTGGGGTACTTTGGATTTGATTCTGGGTGTAGTACATAGTAGAGTACTATGGTCTCTGTGTAATTTCTTTGGCTGTAGACAGTGTTAATGGTATCTGTGATTTCTTCTGTGCATTAGGGTGTGGTTATTAGTGAGGCTGTGGTGAAGATGTGCTGGGGGACTGGGATGCCACATGAGACAGTCTTCAGGCTCCAGTGGTGACAGTGGTGTGCTGAGTGTTCCTATCTTTGTGCCCCAAGGTGGTGTATATTGGTATTTGTGTTGGTGGTTACTGGTGGGCTGATTCCTGGGCCTCCGGGTGGCTTGCTTGGATGCCAGTAGTGGCAGTCGTTGACTGGGTGGGTGGGTGGGGCCTTTGGCTCCTGGGAAGCTAGCTTGGCAGTGGCAATGATGGGCTGATTCTGTGGGTCCCAAGCAGTGTGCATTGTTATTGGCAGCTGTGATAGGCTGGGTGGGATGCCCATAGGTGGTGTTTGCAAGTAGGTGAGAGCTAAGGTGATTGCACCCAACCACATGTACCCAGGAGGAGTGCACAGGTGCCCAAGGTGGTGGATTGGGTTGAGGAATTCCCAGGCCCTGGGGCTGTGTTCTCTGTCTCAGTGGGGGGGCGGTCAATGAAGCTGTTTCTTCATCATTAAATGCTGTGCCAACTAGTCCTTTAATTTTCTTTTTGCCTAGAGGACAGAAACATTTATTATAGTTTAGTTCTGCTGGTTATTTTTTCACTCCCTATATGTTTAAAATTTCTTTGTTTGTTTGTTTTTGAGACAAAGTCTCACTCTATTGCCCAGGCTGGAGTACAGTGGTGTGATCTTGGCTCACTGCAACCTCCACATCCCGTGTTCAAGTGATTCTCGTGCCTCAGCCTCCTGAGTAACTGGGATTACAGGTGTGTGCCACTATGCCTAGCTAATTTTTGTATTTTTAGTAGAGACGAGGTTTCACCATGTTAGTCAGGCTGGTCTTGAACTCCTGACTTTGTGATCTGGACACCTTGGCCTCCCGAAGTGTTGGGATGATGGGCATGAGCCACTGTGCCTGGCCTAACATCCCTTTATTTTTTGATAGATATATTCAAGGTGTGTACGCTCAATTTAATCATTACACACGGTATACATATATCAATACATCAATCAATATCTTACGAACGTATTATAATTTGTCAATTAAAATTATACATATATATTTGGAAAAGGTATTGTTTTCTGGGAATAGAATCTAGTTTCACAGCATTTTCCTTTTAGGACTCTAAAGATGTTGCTCATCTGTCTCCTCATCTGCATTGTTTCCAGTGAAATAACTGCTGTCATGTTTATTATTATTCTTATTTTTTTCACTTTCTGCTTTTTCAATTTTCTCTTCTTCTGTAGTTTTCAACAAATATCAACAAATACATTTTTGTTGTTGTTGTTGTTGTTGTTTTACACAGAATTATAGAGTGAACTTAAGAAACAATCTATAGGGAGGGCTTTTTGACTATTGGTTGTACATTTTTAGAAACAGTTGTTTGCTCCTTGTTTTATTAGGTCACAGGCTAATTTCCTCAGAGTATTCTTATATTGAAGAATGTCATAATTCATTTTATTGGTCATCCCTAAAACCATAAAAACCCTAGAAGAAAACCTAGGCAATACTATTCAGGCCATAGGCATGGGCAAGGACTTCATGACTAAAACACCAAAAGCAATGGCAACAAAAGCCAAAATTGACAAATGGGATGTAATTAAACGAAAGAGCTTCTGCACTGCAAAAGAAACTACCGTCAGAGTGAACAGGCAACCTACAGAATGGGAGAAAATTTTTACAATCTACTCATCTGACAAAGGGCTAATATCCAGAATCTACAAAGAACTTAAACAAATTTACAAGAAAAAATCAAACAAAAAGTGGGCAAAGGATATGAACAGACACTTCTCAAAGAAAACATTTATGTAGCCAATAGACACATGAAAAAA